ACATATTTTTTGACATTTTTTTTTTATCAGGAAAATGTGGTTTTTAACAAAAAGTAGAGTTTTACATATTGTTGATATTGTGGTCCAAAAATGTTTTTTCAAATACATTTGTAATTAGAGGACACTAAAGAATAAAAAAAAAGTGTAAACTTGGGACACTCTAATATATATTGCATCTAGAAATTGCGTAAATATTATAAAATAAAATAATATCATACATATTTTAAGTACCATACAAAATAATTAAAAATGCTGCGTCAATTTATTAAATCAAATAGGTGTTGTTTTGTTCTATTTTTAAAATGTTAAAGTTTTTATATTACTTGTTAAAAGCAACCGCGGCCCTCGGCAAGATATCAAAAAATTAGATTGTTTTTAAATGTTTTGGAATAATAAAGTTATTTATTGAGTATATAGTTTGGTATTTGCGGTTTAAAGAAAAAAAGTAAGTTCGGATAATGCTTGGTATCATAAACTTTCAAACTTAAACAACAAATAACTATGTTAAGAATATTTATTTTATAGACATTAGGCACTTCAATTTCTCTTAGTAGTGGTCTGGCATTAGCCTATTTATTTGCATTTAATATCAAGCGACTTGCTTGTGATTGTATTTTGTAGGTTGTATTTAATTTTGAAGGATAACCACTTGCTCAGATTATGTTGCAGTAGCTGTGAATAAATGCAAAGTAAATATTTTTTAAACACGTGCTCAGGGGTGTTTTGTTTTATAGATAATACCAATAATGTTTTTATTTTCTATTACTTTGATATGATTACTCCAGCATGTTCATTAAAAAATATGCCCCAAAACTTGAATCATTAGTTTTTTAGTTTATCAATTAGTTGATCGTGTAGTTTTAAGGAGATTAAAGGTTTTACTTCTTGTGAGAACTCTTTAATTATATTGTTGTAATTTGTTTTAGATGTTTATCTGCTTCTATACCCATGACTGCTGAGCTATTCTTTAGTTAGTTTTTTTTCTCAAGAGCAAAGTGTAAGGTAAGATTTAATTAATTTCAATGATAAAAACAAACGTTTTATAGAGCAATTACTTATGGGTGTACTACAGCTGTTTTTCTCATATAAATCTATCCAAAATAGAATAATATATATTAACTTTAAAAGCGTTGTTTTATTTGTATTATCTTTTTTTTTTTCTTTTTTTTCTTTATTTTTTTAATTTATTTATTTTTTATTTAGATACAATGGTTTTAAAACTTAGAAATTACAGAATTTTTTACATTTATACATACACACATTCATACATATATATGCACACATATTTTGGTTTTTAGATTTGTAGTTGCTTTGATTAACTAGTGTTGGTTTTTAGATTTGTAGTTGCTTTGAATAAAAAGTTATGTTTCCCATCTCTTATAAGACGCAATGTTCTTTGGGTAAAACTATTTTTGAAAGTCGTATTTGCAGTAGCTATCTTGAAGCCGAAGTTGATATTTTGTCTTGTTGTTATTTTGGATTTATTTTTTGTCTTTATGTTTAGCGGATGATTAGGGTTTTGTAGAATACGCTTTAGGATTTTTATACATATATTGTCAATGTATGTGTCGGTGTTTTCAATGTTATATTTTGTTCTGGCAATTTCTGGATTAATGCCTATAGATTTTAGCATTTTCAGATGTATTTGCTGTATTTATGCTTTATTTTGATACTGCTTGCACACAGTAATGGTGCACTATGGATCAAGTGGCTAAGTCCAACGTTTCGGTATATTATTACTAGTAATTCACTGTGAAAGCTAATTTTTTTAGACTTCTAATTAGGTACTGAGCTGAGAAGAATTTGGGCTTGATGCGATGCCAGTTTTGGTCGATGTTTATTCAATATTTAAATCTAATCCTAGGTATTTATATGAGGTTACATATTCGAGAGCTTTAGAGTTAATGGAAACAATTGATGATGGGCGTGTGTAGAGTTTGTTACTAGGTATGCTCATGATTTTGCATTTTTTTTCTTTGTTTTTTCAGCCTCAAAACGAGCAACTGGCTTCTAATTTTCATTATTTGCTAACTTGTCAACAAAATTTATTATTGATGTCCAGTTTTTATTTAAAGACTTGCAAGTATCATCCCGAGCAAACCACTTTTTTTTGTTCTTTATTACAGTATTTATGATACAGATACAAATAATATAAAAAAGAAAAAAGAAAAAGTAACAAGTCAAGATATCGTTAAGTAATAAAGAATAAAAATAATTATAAAAAACGCGGATACTCAAAGAAGACCATCAGGTCTTGTCGCATAGAAACCGCTATTGGACGTTTTTTTTTTTTTTTAATGTTTTCATTCTTTATATTTATTTATTTTTGTTCAATTTCTTTTTATTACAAAATTAAATTTAATAATAAAAGTATATAAAGTTCGTTAAATCACAATATTACAATATAAGAGTTCTAAAACATAAAAACTAAAACATGTTAAATAATTCACTAAAATAAAACATGTTAAATAATTGCTTGTTGATAAAAATAAATAAAAAAGAATGTACGTTAAATATATACATATACTAATATAGATTAAGGATTTTCAAAAATTTAAAAGTAGATTAGTATATTTTCAGTTGAAAAAATGAGTTTTTTAAGATTTTATTTAAAAGAATCAAAATTACATTCTTGAGAAAAATTTTTAGAACTATACTATTCCATAAAAATGGTCCGTGAAATGAAATAAAATATTTTCCGAAATTAGTTTGAGAAAAAGGTTGTCGAATTAAGTTATCGTTCCTTAGAATATATTTATTTCTATCTCTTTGTAAATGCAAGTTACGAAAAGAAACAGGTGATAGGTGGGTCTTGCATTTATACATAAAACAAAGAATATTAAAAACATTCAACTCATATATATTGAGTGCTTTCATATGATATAAAAGAGGCTTGGCGTGAGCCTCAAACAAACTGTACAACAATTGTTGTCAATATGGTTAAAATTTCCCGTTTGTGTGTTGACAAAGAAAAAAATTTATATATACTTTGGAGTAGGTTAAAGAATAAAAAAGTTTCAGAACAACAACTTATTGCATTCACTCCAACTAAGTTTAATAAATAGGCTGCAAAAAAACAAATTTTGAGTAAGACCAAGGACGTAAAATAAGATTTTATTTTTTTTTATATTTTTACTTATATCTTATTTTTTATATATCTTATTACTTATATCTTTTTTATATTTTTTTTACTTATACTTTTATATCTTATTACTTATATCTTATTTTACTTATATCTTACTTTACGTCCTTGGTCAGACATATTATTTGCATTGTCAATTATAAAAGTTTTTCTTAGTGTCTTTCTGGGGCTTTAAAATTATTGTTATTATTATTATTATTATTAATATTATTTTTTCGTCCATATGATTGATTGATTGCACACATTTTACAATGTTATCTTAAAGATTTAATAGTTATGCGTGATCACGCTCTCATAAATAGATAAAAAGTTAGAACCAAATTTTTTGAGATCAGCTGAGCTCATTCGGGGAAGTAGGTGACGAAATTTTGTGGGGAAAGGAGTGACGAAATTTTAAGACTTATTTATTATTTTAGACTGTTCCCAGCCTCCAATCATCGTAATTTTTTTGCTAAGCATCATTATTTGACATAAATATAAACATAAAAATGTTTGGAGTTTACTCCATATCTGAAAAAAAAAAAAAAAAGAAATCCTTGGCCCTAAAAGCCTCTATAACGGTGTCTTTATTTAATCCATAAATAGTATTGCCATTTTTAGACAATTCTGTACAGTGTACAGTGGTAGGAAAATAAAAAAATTTTTCGTAAATAATTAAAAAGTCTTAAGGAAACTTCCTTTTTAACCCTACGTCTAGCTACGTTTTGTGTTCAAACCGTAGCTAGACATTTTACTTCTTACAACTGCAGTGGTTGGAAATAAGATTTCTAGCGTAAGCGCAGTGACCCTGACTAACATAAAAAAGGCCTAAAAATGGCAATTTTAATGAAAAAAACCCACTAAACTATAGCCAAATAAATCCTGCAGCATTTACTACAACGTTTTACATGAAGGAGGTTTATTAAACCTCCTTCATGTAAAACGTACAACACATGAATAACTAATGAGTTTAAAACTCATACTTTCGTTTTGCGTGATTTGTTTTAATATTTTTGAAGTTACGTCTCTCGCAACTCCCAATCCGGTCATCTTTAAATTTAAAGTAAACTTTAATGCAGATTTTCTAGTAAGATTGCTTTGACTGTTAATAGCGCAGATTTTTTTTGGAAATACTTTTAACTTAAAAATAAGTCATGAATAATTTATGACTCACATGTTAAAAGTTTTTCAAGCTTAACGTTTTTTAAACTAGCAGAGGTAGCAAACTTGCTAACGTTTGTACTGACACCGCATGGAAATAACGAGTGCATGTTTAAACTCATTATAAATTCGTATAAGCCAAAACAGTACCCGCTTTATATCCGTTAAAAAAAACCTAAAAAAATAAATTTTCTTATTCTTTTATAACAAATAAATTTATATTGTTAAAAAAAAATCTTTAAATAAATTATTTTATATTGTTAAAAAAAAAAAAAAAATAGCCTAGTCAAAATTTTGCCAACACCCCAAATGCCTTTTTTCAATAATCAGTCTATAAAACCTGAAAAAATCGAAAAAAAAACCTGAAAAAAGTAAACCTATGGTGACTAAAAATAACTTTTTTTTTTAAATACGACTATTTTCGTTTTAAAAAAGGGATGTTTCAAAAGTTAGGTTTTTTTCCCAAAAAACACATAAACCCTAATATCTCCTACGCACATTTTCAAATCCTAACAACATTACAGTGAATGATGAAATGGTCCATGAGGAAGATTCTATGTAGTTTTTGGCACTTACTGATGAAAGGCTCTAAAGACAAACGCAGTTTGTCAACATACCCTTGTTGCCAAATAGCCCTGGTCTCCCCTACCGTACACTACTAAAAACCTTACATTCGCAGTACATTACTAAAAACCCCAATTAAAAATAAAATGACAAGTAATCGTATTGATTTCTTTTTTATGCTTTATAACTTTGACACAAGAACAACTTAGTAATTAAACAAATATGTATCAATGGAATATCCAAACGTATAACATAAAAAATACTTTAAAAAAAAATCTAAAATAAAGTACAACTTTACAGAAAATTGAGCACGCCTTATCATTGTGAATATCGATGCAATAACATTAAAAAATACATATAAAACCAGAAGCTTTAAAAGATAATGCATCAATTTTTTGCGAGTCCAATAATTTGCAAAATATACAAAAACAAAGTGATTATATCAATGTACAAGTTCAATGCAGCGAAAATGTATTCTTCCGGACTAATCGAATATTTTTTTTTCCCTCCAAGCATCATTTGTGTGTCAAACACTAAGAACTAAATAGAAAAATACAAATAAATAAATATATATATATATATATATATATATATATATATATATATATATATATATATATATATATATATATATATATATATAACAACTTTGTTTGAAGTAGGCAGAAATTTGGTGGACAAAATAATAATAAAAAAAAAGGTTAATATTTAATTTTTTTTAAGTTTCAACTGTTATTACATTTTAAACAATTGATTTGACGTAAATTACTATGACCTTTCTACGCCACTGAGTAAAATTATACTGTATATTTTGAAATAAGGTATGTTTAATAACTGTTCTATGTATTTTCGATTAATTATTTACAGTTTAATAATATACTATATATTTCAGTAAATTATTTACAATTAAAGTAAAAAGCATTGCTAAAGTTGAAAGTATTATCTTTCTTAGAAACTGAAAGAAGCTTAAGTTAGATAAGTGGTTTATATATATATATATATATACATACATATATATATATATATATATATATATATATATATATATATATATATATATATATATATATATATATATATACATATACATATATATATATATATATATATATATATATATATATATATATATATATATATATATATATATATATATATATATATATATATATATATATATATATACATATATAAAACATGAATTTCAAATTAAATAATATATTTTAAGATTGTATCAATGTTTATAAAGGTCCCATACCTGGCCTGAGATAAATAATGACCCATCCCAACCTGGTCTGAGATAAATAATGACCCTGGTCTATTACTACAAATTGGTCACATAATGCATATTTGTAGTTAAACATAATTGTACTAAAAGATAGTAATCTATGCTTTAAAAGCGATCGAGTGATACACTATCGAACTTGACATAGCCAAAAAACATTTTAGCACATTGTTTATAACAATACTAAAGCGTGCCATTGTTTTAACATTACAATTTTGACAAAGAGGAGCACCATTTAAACAAATCCGATACAATTCGAACAACTTAATTTTTACACTGCTGAAGCATAAATAAAGGCGTCTAATTAAAGTATTTGCGTGTGTATATAGACTTTTTACTTTCTTGGTTATTTGTGTTATAAAAAAAAACTGCTTTTAATTCCGAGTATTGTAAGCTTAACAAAATAAATTTCTAAAAATTTGGCAAAATAAAATTTATGGTTCAGTTTATTTTGTTCAGCAAATTTAAAAGCAATTTTTCGGAAAAATTATATGAACTTTCTATTTTAAGCTTATCATAAAAGTTATCCTAACTTCTTTTTCATAATTTGTTTCAAGAGCTGTTTACCACCAAAATAGAGTGGGGCTTTTTTTAGACTAAAGTGCATCACTATATATTTTAAAATGTTATATGTTAAAAAACATAATTAATTTTCTTTAAACTTGATTATTAATTTCAATTAGTTTCAATTTTTTTTTCAAATTTATATAATTAATTTTTTTGTTTGTTTTGTTTTTAAAGTTTATTTGTAAAAATTTTAATTTGTTTTTAAAGACCTATAATAAAGATGTGTAAGCATATAAATAAAATAAGACATTAAACGCTACATCAACTTTACCAAAATACTTATTTGTTGTTTAATAACTGTGACATTTAATGGCTATTTAACACACAAATGTTCAGTTTTAGTGCTATTAACACCTTATGAATTGCATATAAAAAAACATACCAGTCCAAAGATAAGGGCTCCAAGACAAGCATAGACTAATCGAACAATCTAAAGGACAACAGAAAAGTAATGAAATATAATTTTATTTAAGATTGCTATTTATCTATAAAAAAATACTTCATTCAAAAAATTTAATCTTCTATTTTAACTTTTTTCAAAATAACATTAGTTCCAGTTAAATTTGAACTTTTCATTATCTCTGCATTTATTTACATTTTTATTTACTTTAAAATTTTTTTTTATACTTTTCACATATTTATTTGGAAAAAAAAAAAAAGTCATAAAATAAGTTACCTTGCTGTGAAAAAATATTGCGAAAATTCCAAAGCACAATAACACAATTACAAGCACAAGTAAAAATCCACCCATCATTGTGAAGTCATACTATTATTAAAAAAGTAACTATAAAATTTTATACAAAATCTTTGTATAAAGTGTATTTATTTATGGTTATAACTCAAGATATCTGCAAGAATTATTTGTTTAAAAATTTATTTTGTTTGTTTAATCTTAAACCTGATATTCAATTAACACAATCATTCTTACACGTAATTTCTCAAATGATAAATAAATTGACAATAATTGCTTTAAACAACAACTGCTTTGTAATTTTGGAAGCAAAAGTTAAAGAAAATCATTATAATAAAAAATTACAATAATAGTTTATTTATTTATTTTTTTAAAATAAAAAAACCCAATAATCAATAAAAATTTAAAAGAGTAAAATTAGCTGAGTTAAAAAAAACAAACATTTAATCAGTGTTTCATCAATATCGTGCTAAAAGTGAATTGATATAACTAAAATGACTGTAAGTGATACATCTTTGAAGGATATAATTGATAAATTATGCAAAGCCACTAAATTTCAGTTCCTAATTCAACTTCAAACAGAAAAGCAAACGCAAAATTGCTAGATTTACTAATTATAGCAAGAGTTTTAAAACTTTTTTTAGATAAAAACGCTTAATTAAAAAATCAATTAAATGAACTTGAGAAGACAAAAAACTGCTACCACACCTGAATCATTTTGGAATAATTTTCCTGAACCCACATTATTGTCTAAATCACCTGAACAAATAAGCTTTGAATTGAGGCAAACTAATACCAATCAGTAACCATTACACCAAACTTCATCATCTAAATTAACTTGTTATTCAGCTTGAGTTTCATTAAATTATTATTATACCAATCCAACATCCTTAAACAATAATATGCAAGAGCTTCAAACAATCGCTCTTCATCACAATTTCAATGCTATTTTCATCACAGAAACATTTGTTCCTTATATTAACAAATATGTGTTATTTAGAAAAGATCATGTTAATTGTGAGGGTGGAGTAGCTACATATAATTAAAAATATACTAGTGATGAAACAAATAATAGGATAATAAATGAGGACTGTGTCAAGCAACAGTGGTGCTGCTTATCAATTGGCAAAAAAAAAAGCCAAAGATACACAAGGCAACCAATTCTCTTACCACTATAAGACAACAAATTTTTTGAATCTTTTTATGAAACTAATTGCTACCTCTTGCCAAAAAAATTTGATAGGCTAATTATTAGGGATGTACCAAAATTCTGGCAGAAATTTGTGACTTTTTGTTTATTCTGGTTCCAGCCATAAAAATAATATTTTAGGCTGAAATGCCAAAATTTTTTTGTACCTTTTTTTTTTTAAGACATGTGACACAGACAGTGTAAATTAAATCAAAAAGTAATTGTCCTACAGGGCAATGAACAACTATAGGTAAACCTAGGTAAAATATATAAATTTCTAAACAAACAAAATATAATTTTATTTGCTATAATCAAATATGAAAAGATTTTTGGAAGTTTAGGAATATTGTGGCGCAAAAGTTGCTCTCCAGTTTTGGACAACAAATTAGCTCTTTTTTCATCAAAATTTAACCTGCCTCTGAGATGAGTCTTATTTCAAATGTTATTTAAATTTATTAAATGCATTTAAATATATTTCAATATTAACCTAAATGGAAAAAAAGAAAACAATTTTAAATATAAATATTATGCAGGTTAACTTTCAATAAATAAAATTATAAAAACAAATAAAAACAATATATTGTTTTTAAATGAAACAAGAATCAAATTAATGAATGGTTATATTTATTATAGGTTGTAAATATATATTATATAGCCAAGATGCCGAGGTTACCATCAATTCAATGTTGAAGGTAAAAAATAACATAAATATAATCCGGTTCCAGACAGAAATTAAAATTTCTATTCCAGTACACCCATAAACTCGATTGTCAACTCGCAACAAGACAAACTTGACAATTGAAACACCAAAAAGTCAATAGCTAATTAATTTAATAAACACTTTCAACCAGTCTTCACAAATAATATAAATAGTGATGTACTGATTAATCGGCATTAGCCTAATCGGCCACTTTTTGCACAATCAAAATCAGCATTAGCCTTTTTTCATTAATTTACCCATTTTCCAACTGATAGCATTTTTTATATTTTTATCCTGCATTATGAAAATAATTAAATAATAAGTAAACTAAACTTTATGCATTACTTAGAATTTTTTTGAAAAATTGTTTATTGTGACGTTGTTTACAGGCAAATTTGTTTATTCTTAAGATGATGTTTATAAGCTTTAATTTAACAGCTGAATGTACTTTTACTTTTATTACCATAATTTTGTTTTTTGTTCTAGTGTAATACTTAAATGTAACCTATTTAAGAATTGTTATCTATATGTGTTCAAGAATAGCCTTCTATACTTCTATATGATTGTTGTTTAGATATCTAAATTACTAATAAATAAATACATAAATAAAGAATTTTAAGTAAACTGCTTATCTTAATACCATTTTCTTTTTAAATTGTAATAAAAAGCGCTCCTCTAAAATTGTATTTATTTTTTGAAAGTTTGCTTTTCATATAAAAAAAAAAAACTAAAAAATATATACTTTTTTAACTGAGTTTTTCTATTATCTTTTAAAGTAATGATTTGGCTCTGATTTGGGTGCAAGTATTTCTTTACCAGTACTGATTACATGAAAAAGTTTACACAATTTAAAGTTGTATAGTTTTATATTTTCAAAATGTTAATAATTAGTTAATTCATTGGCATTGGTATTTTTCCCATCCATCAGCATCAGTAGCAGCATCGGCCACAAATGTGCTATCAGTACATCACTAATAAATAATGTTCTATTGGTACATCACTAATAAATAATGTTCTATTGGTACATCACTAATAAATAATAAACTTACTGAATTTGAGAAATGTTTCTTAAGTCAAACAAACACAGGTTTTTAGTAAAACCACAATATTACAGAAACTAGAAAATATAATTATACACAAAATCAGGATTGATGGCGTAAGTTTATAAGTTCTAAAAAACTGTGCAACATCATTTTGTATTCCACTAAAAAAAATAATCATCATGAAAAGTTTTCATTCAAGTTCATTACTGAGACAATGGAGCCAAGCAAAGGTTATGCCACTACACAAAAATGGAAGTCAACCTATTGCAAGTAATTACAGGCTGATTTTGCTCACATCAGTCATAAGTAAATTAATGGAAAGTTTAATTTGAGACTATGATGAAACATCTAATAATAAGTAATCTTATCACCCCGCCACTGCATGATTTAGTGAAAAAAAAGATGTGTCAAAAATTTACTAGAGTTTCAAGACTTTGTTAGTGCAGTTTTACATAACAAACATCTAGTCTGCATTTTATTTATTGATTTGGCAAAAATATTCAACACTATCGCATGGTATTTCCAATTTTAAAAACTATGAAGAACACCCTATCAGGTCAATCAGTCTTCTCTCTATTGTTAGCAAGATCTTTAAGTCTTGAATTAACTTCTAATATCTCATACTTGCTTTCTGACAATCAATACAAATTTCAATATTCTTGTTCAACTCCTGACTTGTTACCCATTATAACAAAAAAATTCAATTGTCTATTAGATGAAGGAAACAAGGCAAGGGCTAATGCTCTTGGAATATCAAAAGCTTTCGATAAAGTCTGAAATGCTGGTCTTCTACATAAGCTCATTTCAAATGGTGTATCTGGGAAATTATTAAATTATTCATTTATAAATGCAGTATTTAAGTTCATCACTCACACTACTCTTCATTTCTAGTAGCTTTTGAGGAATCACAAGGTTCTACTTTGGTCCTGTATTGTTTCTTACCTATGTTGATAATCTTCCTGACAATCTTACATCTAATTGGCTTTACATGCTGACTACGTTTTTAGTTTTGACTCTTCTGCAAGAAGAGTCAAGAAAAAGCTGGCAGTGGCTAGTAAACTTGTAAACTGTGACTAGTGACCTACTTTAAAAAAAATCAGCTATTTACTGCAAACAACTATCACAATATTGTTGATATTTCTATACTGATGATTGGAAGCACTCTCACTAAACCTATTTTATATCTTTTCAGATTATCATTCATTACTGATATCTTTTCGAAACCATATCTATGCATATATTAGCCCATTTCCATTTACTATACTATCCATTGCAAAGTTAGCATTGGTTAAGGTTGCCCCTTTTTATCATGATCATCATTTCTTTACTCTCAAGTCCATTTTCTACCTATATAATTATCTAATTTGTTCCTTTATGGAATACTGTTGTCATATTTTGGCTGATTTTTCTAAAAATCCTTTTTCTCTTTATGATAAAGTCCTAAAATATATTTTGAATATAATTGGACCTACTCTATCTGCAAAGCTGAGTGACTTCAATTGTCAAAAGGTTACATCTTTTTCTATTTTCTACAAATACTATCATGGTCAATTGTCAAATAAGCTATTATGTATAGGTTCATTAACCAAGACTAATTGTTACTTGACTTGCCATATAGCAAATTTGTATGCTTTTACTGTATCTGTCCCTTCATGCTCTAAAAAATTTTATTCATCTAGTTTTTTTTCTTTATGTATTATTCCCAAATCATGCAACTTACAATTACAGTTTAAAGATACAATTTTACAAAATTTAACAGTTAAAAGTTTTTACAAATTACATTTTGCAAATTTTTCAAGTCTTCTGTAAACCTTTTTCTTCAGTTTTTGTTTTTTTGTTTAATTGTCTTTATATTGTCGTTACTTTCAAGGCTCTAATTTTATTATTTAATTTTTGTTATTTTTTACCTTCAAGATTAAAGTGAAAGGCTACACATCAGCATTGTGACTATATAATATAATCATTAATATATATATATATATATATATATATATATATATATATATATATATACATATATATATATACATATATATATATATATATATATATATATATATATATATATATATATATATATATATATATATATATATATATATATATATATATATATATATATATATATATATATATATATTAGGGTGTCCCAAAATACAACTTTTTTAAAAATAACCTGCTCTCACCCCCTAAATGTGTTCTATCTAATACAAAAACACTAAGTTTAAATTTTTTTTCAATAAAAAATAATTTAAAGGGTCCCTCAAGACCCTCAAATATTTAATAAGTCCCTAATATTTTCAACAAAAAAGTTTTTAAAAATTAAGTCAACCTGGTACTCAAATGAACCGAAATTATATAAAAATTTCAAAAATAATGTTCATTTTGGAAAAAACGATACATAACGATATTTCCCTTAAAATATGCAATATTTGCCAAAACAAAAAACAATTTTCTGTAAAAAAAATTGCCGATTTTGTTAAAAAAAAAAAGTTTTGTTTAAGTACATATCGTTTTTTCCGAAATAAACATTATTTTTGAAATTTTTATATAATTTTGGTTTATTTGAGTACCAGGTTGACATAATTTTTAAAAACTTTTTTTTTAAAATATTAGGGACCCATTAAATATTCGAGGGTCTTGAGGGACCCTTTAAATTATTTTTTATTGAAAAAAAATGTAAACTTAGTGTTTTTGTATTAGATAGAACACATTTAGGGGGTGAGAGCAGATTATTTTTAAAAAAGTTGTTTTTTGGGACACCCTAATATATATATATATATATATATATATATATATATATATATATATATATATATTTATATATATATATATATATATATATATATATATATATATATATATATATATATATATATATATATATATATATATATATATATATATATATATATATATATATATATATATATATATATATATATATATAATATATATAACGTCTGTTCACAAAAAATCCGGACTGATTTCAAATGTACACAAATAGTTCTAAATTTCGAATTTTCGAAATTTAATCGGTCAACAACAACAGCTTCATTTTGTTGCAAAATTGAGTTTAAATAATTAATTCAAATAAACATGGAGCATTTAAAAGAGAACGATGTTAGAAATGTGATTGGAAATTTTTATAAACAAAACATAAACAGTGGAAAGAAATTTACAGTGGATCATTTTAAGAAAATGGGAATCGCTAAATCTACAATTTATGACATAATTAAAAGGTCTGAAAATAATTTGCCAATGAAAAAAAAAATCGGTTGCAGCAGAAAACCTTTTAAAACCACACCAGAAAAGATAGAGTCCATGATTGCAAGAGCAGAAGAGAGAATCGGGATTTCGCAAAGAAAATTGGCACTAACATATAAGATAAGCGTTTCATATGTAAATAGATTATTAAGTATGCATGGACTGAAGTATACCAAAAGAAAAAATGCACCAAAAACAACAGAAAAGCAAGAAATTAAACAAAAGAAAAACTTATTAAAACTTTTAAAAACTTTTTTCAAGCCATCAAATGAGTTTGAAATCACCATGGACGATGAATCTTATTTCTGTGTAAATGGTGCAAATTGTTCACAAAACTCTGGCTACTATACAAAGGATAGTTCTCAAACTGATCCTAACATTAAATTCAACTTCAAAAAAAAGTTTGACGAGAAAGTTCTTGTTTGGATTGCAATCAGTCATTTCGGTCATTCATCGCCTTATTTTCCTGCAAAAAATTGGATGCAAAAACTTCTAAAGAATGTATTACAAAAAGACTTCATCTATTTATAAATTCCAAGCATCAAAACATGAAAATTTTATTTTGGCCTGACCGAGCGAGATGTCATTATGCAAAACACACATTAGAAACTTACAACACTTTAGGTATTAACTTTGTAGACGCTAAAGATAACCCCCTAAATGTACCGCAGTTAAGGCCAATTGAAAATTTTTGGGCACATTTAAAAGCAAAAGTTTATGGAAATGGATTTACTGCAAAAAATCTTGACCACCTTAAGAATAGAATTCGATTAAAGTTGAAAGAGTTCGATCCAGACTACTTTTTCAACCTAATGGATTCAGTCAAAACTAAAGTTCGAAAAGCCGCTGATTTATGACCACTTTCAGTTATAAAATAGTTAACGATGTCCAGTCTCTCATTTTAGTTAAAATTTTTGTCAAAAATCAATTAATTTTGTATTCAATTAAGAACAATTTTTCATTCCGGATTTTTTGTGAACAGACGTTATATATATATATATATATATATATATATATATATATATATATATATATATATATATATATATATATATATATATATATATATATATATATATATATATATCAGGGGCTCTTCTAGACTGTTTTTTTAAATGTTTTTTTACATTTTTACAACAAATATTGGGAAAAAAACGCTGATTTTCCCATAAAGTCTGCCAAAAAGTTAACATATACGTGTTATTTATATATTGTAATATATTTTATCATATATTATTATTTACATTAATTTATTAAGGTGTTTAACAACTTAGGTTATTTTTTTACTAGAAAAATTTTGAACTTTTAAAAAACACAGATTAAATTATCCAATCAACTGATTAGTTTCATTTTTAATTTGAGACTTATTAAACAATATATAAACCTATATAAACACAACTATACAAAACAATTAATCAAATTTTACCTTTGTTTGAAAAGCAAAAATAGTGATTGCCAAGGAAAGAACCTTAAAATTAATAAATAAAAAATTTCAACAAAATGATTTTTATAATAAAATCTAGATAAATTAAAAGATTCTAAATAAATTTTAAATACCTAAATATTTTATTAAATATTTTATTAAATATTTAAATATTTTAAATAGTACCTAAATATTTGTTGATAAATTTAAAAAGAAAAACTTTACTTACTGCAACAATACCCATAGCTAGCAACACTTCATTGACTTCATAATGACTATAAATTAAAATTGTTTTAGATAAAAAAAAATTAAATACTCGCACTCTTACCTTCCTAAAAAATATAAATAGTTCAATTTTATGACATTGCATAGTCTAGTCTTTATCACATTTTATGTGATAAAGACTAAACTATACAATACTGTAGACATGCAGTGCAATGTATATACAAAATGTAATATACATGATTTATTGTAAGTGCTTATATTTATTATTGATACTTGTGTTTGCACTATATATTTATTCATCTATATTTATGCTAAATATTTATGTGATGTTTACAAGAAAAATATATTTTAGCTATAGCAACACACTAAAACAATTTGTTGTTAGATTGATCATTAGACGTTTCTGAATTTTAATCTTTGAATGATCTTATGATAAAATCATAAAACTAAAAATGTTATTGCTTTTGTTAAAAATAGTCAAGTAATATTTGCAAAAAAAAAATTAAATGATAGATAATAATTTAATAAACAAAGATGATCTACACTGTATCTACACAAATATATATACATATATATAAATATATATATATATATATATATATATATATATATATATATATATATATATATATATATATATATATATATATATATATATATATATATATATATCTATATCTATATCTATATCTATATCTATATCTATATCTATATCTATATCTATATCTATATCTATATCTATATATATATATATATATATATATATATATATATATATATATATATATATATATATATATATATATATATATATATATATATATATATATATATATATATATGTGTGTGTGTATATTAAACAAACTTATTCACAACAAAGCTGCAAGCAACCACAAAGTTCAAAATTTACAGAAAATAAAGAAAAAAAGTTCAAGAGCAAGAATGCAGTTGCATTATATATTTAAGATGATAATAGGTTTAGGATGACACTTAGGAGTAAGAAAATAGCAAGCATGATAAATAGAACCAAACTTAGCAGATGCCAAATTTGCAAATCGATATATATATATATATATATATATATATATATATATATATATATATATATATATATATATATATATATATATATATATATATATATATATATATATATATATATATATATATATATATGGTTTCCATGAGAACATAGTAGTATTGAATTAGTATTGTAAGTATTGAAAATTTTATTTATTAAAAATTTTTTATTTATTGTTGTTAGTACTGAATGATAATCCAAGATGCTGTAAAGTAGAGAACTCAGTAAAAATGTTGCCATTCATCAATATAGAAATATCAACAGTATTGTGATAATTTGTAAATAACTGAGTTTTTTGGGCTTAAAATTTACAAGCCACTCTAAGCCCCAAGCTGCCACAGAAAAGTAGTCAGATTCAAGGTCTGCTGTTTGTTCATAGTATCATTAAGTGGACTTTTTGTCAAGATTGGAGTATATGATTGTGTCATCAGCACATAGAGACACTTTAACAAGATCATAAATATAGATGAGGAACAATAATGGACTAAGGTATACTTCTACATCTGGGATACTTGAAGTATCCCAGATGTTACAAGAAAAGAAAGAAACTGTTGTCTATCAAAGGCAACTTCAATTCTGCCGTTAAAAAGAAATAATTTAATAATTATAAAAACTTTTTTAGATACACAATATGAAAGGAGCATTTGCAGAAGACCAGCCTGCCAAACTTTCTTAACAGCCTTTAATGTGACAAGAGCATTAGTCCCTGCCTCACCGCTTCTATCAAACGCATAATAGAACCATTCAGTTATATTGGGTAATAAGTCAGGAATAGAACAAGAAAATTGAAATTCATACTCTGCTTATGAGAATGAATTTCAATTTTCTTTTTCCGACAACTTTCAGTTTTTAAAAAGTATTTAGAACTCTTCTCATTACTCTTTAAACTATTAACAAAATTATTAACACGTGATTAACAAATTAACACGTGATTAACAAATTAACACGTGATTAACAAATTAACACGTGATTGCCTATTTAACACGTGATTAACAATTTAACACGTGATTAACAAACTAAGACGTGATTAACAATTTAACACGTGATTAACAATTTAACACGTGATTAACAATTTAACATGTGATTAACAAATTAACACGTGATTAACAAATTAACACGTGATTAACAAATTTAACACGTGATTAACAATTTAACACGTGATTAACAAATTAACACGTGATTAACAATTTAACACAATTTAAAGTGATTAACTGAATAACACCTGATTAACTATTTAACACATGATTAACTGAATTTTGTTTTCTTCCTGCTAGAAAATCCTATTTTTTTAAAAAATTTATAAAATTTCAGAAGTTTGTTAAGGATTTAAAGACTTTGCTTGTAATAGTAAGAAGACTGAATGAGTGATAGTTAAAGAGTTTGATTTAAACATTTATAATAAAGCAAATTAGAATTTTAAAATTGGAATCACAGATGTCATTTCAGTAACAGCAGTTTGGTCAGCTAGATAACAAGAAGATCAAAAACTGTATTGATTGTCTGACAGTAATTTATATGACTCAAGATTTTGTTGATCAAAGACTTAAAGACCTTGCTAATAATAGAAAGAAGACTGATTGGACGATAGTTAGAAGAATTAAAAATTGTTATCACAGTTATATAAGTCATATTATAGCAAGAATGGAAACATAATAATTTAGCACTTGTTGATTTGTTTAAAAGTTAATAGAGTTCAGAAGAACATTTTCGCAAGACAATGGCATCTTGTCTAGACCACAAGGAGGAGAGGAGTTTAAGTAAGAAATAACTAAAGCTACGGAAGCAAGGAGTGATTTAGACGACTAACAATGGGTAAACTTGTTTTTCTGAGGTAACAGGATTAGTGTAGTCATTAAACTCAAGATTTATAGAGATCATAGCATGGTCCAACCATCTATAAGAGAACAAAAAGAAACTAAGTACAAGCTAGGGTCAGAGACAAGACACAAATCAAGTAGTAAAGGCAAATCATTAGAGTTGTTTGGATAAGGAGTCACTAAGTTTACTATCTGAGTAAGAGGTTGAGAAAAATAAAAGGTGTGTGCAAGCAAGGTCAGTGGTACTAGAGCCAAGCTATTCAAATTTGATCATTGTTAAAGTCACCAAAAACAACAATATTGGCTGATGGATAAAGAGAAAATGTTTGGTCAACTTGGGATAAAGGTGAACAATAAAGAATGAAAAGAAAGGTAATTGAATGAAGAAGTGCTAAACGAAAGCACATAAAGAATATTCAGAGGATTCAAACCTAATTTTACAACAAATAGATAAATTGATATGCATATATCAATTTATCTATTTGTTGTAAAATTAGGTTTATAGTTTGGCCTAGACCAAGCATGTGGCAATATTAAAATAAATAATAAACAGCCATCAAGACTACGAGCCAAATATGAAATGACTATAGTTAAATTGATTTTTTAATAATTTCACAAGATATTGTTAAAAATCTGTTTTTAACAATTTCTGGTAAAATTTAAAAAAACGGATAGAAACAGAAGGATTTAAAAATGGATCAAAAGTTACTTCAAAGACAGCAAATATTTGTAAAGTATATATTGAAACAATTTGGTTTTAATAAAAAACTTGAATTGTTCATATATAGTGTATTAGACCCTAAGCAGGTAAGCTATGCAGCTTACTTGCTACCAAATAAAAGCCATAACAAAGGGCTCATTATTTGACCGTAACAATGCACACTAAATGCATTAACAGGAATATGTTCTATAAGCATGACACTGAAAATTCTGATATTTTCTAATGCCCACACTATCCTGCATCCAAAGATACAGGGTTATTCATTTTTAAATATTCAAACCACTCTAGTTTCTGATGCTAAACATATTTCTATATATAGTATATACTTATACTGCTCAACAGCTTGTAAACACAAGTTTCTAGTCGACAAGTAAACACTTGTCGACTAGAAAATGACAAAAAACTCTAGACATCACTCTGAACTATCAAACTATTAACCATTCAGCTTTCCAACTGCTATTAGCAAAGTCTTTGAGTCTTTAAATAACAAAAGCTATAATCTCATCTTAAGTCTTATATCATTTTTCTCATTCTACTACGATTCGAGTTTATATGAAGAAATTAGTGCTTTTATAAAAACATAAGTGATATGTAGATAAAAATAATAGATATATATATAGATAAAATAATAGATATATATAATATAGATATAAATAATAGATAAAATAATAATATATAAATAAAAATAATAATAAGCAGCTCATAGCATTTAAAATTTTAAACTTAATTCTGCTTCCTGATATTTTAAGAAAAATATTTTTACTCAGTTGTGCCTCATATATTGATTAGTGGAGGCATAGTCATAAGAAATAGATAGTCTGGAAGCGAACAATGACCGATTGTTTGAAGTTATTGTATTTGATTTTTGCTATACCCAGATCTCCGACCCTGCACAAGTTTTAAAAAATCCTATTGTTTTTCTAACGAACTAACTGTTTTTCTTTAAAGAACTCAATAGATATTGCAAATCCGGGTGAAAACTGTTTAATTTATGGATGTTCTGCCTTTAGAAGATATACTGGAGTTGCTTTCTTTAAAGTTCCTAAAGAAACTGATGATTTTACTAAAAAATGGGCTTCAGACTGGATTAACATTATCACAAAAGATCAAGTTGTTGATGATATTCTTTGAAAGAAAATAAACGATTTTGAACATAAAGAACTATGGATTTGTGAGCTTCACTTTTCTTCTGAGCAAATTTGGTGTTATGAAACAAAAAAAAAGGTTGAAAGATGAGGAGCTACCATCACTAAATTTACCAAGTAAAAGCACAGAAGCGCCAGTTTCAATTGCTGTTTCTCGATCCTCGTCGTCCATATCTAAGCGAGATGATTATCAGTTACTTTTTGAAAGTTCTTCAATCGAAAAGTCTTATTGTTATAGAAACTTTGTGGACTTCAAAAAACGTCTTTTTAATTTGTCTTCATTAAA